CCCCCCATCATACTATACAGGACCATATAGAACCCCCCATCATACTATACAGGACCATATAGAACCCCCCATCATACTATACAGGACCATATAGAACCCCCCATCATACTATACAGGACCATATAGAACCCCCCATCATACTATACAGGACCATATAGAACCCCCCCATCATACTATAGAGGACCATATAGAACCCCCCATCATACTATTATCACCTGACTGGGGGTATAGAGCCATCCTGACATACAAAGCCATCGGCCATATTTCGGGCTCCTGTAATAAAGTGTAACAGCCGATCCTCCCAGAGGAGAAATGACTGATCGCTCCCTCGCCTCTCTCTCCAGATCTCCATCCAACCCCCCCAACGCCAACGGTGGTACGCCCTGTGAGGGGGACACGCGGGACGTCAGAGAATGTTACACTCCATGTGCCAATGGTAAGACCCGTCCATACCCCAACATGACTGCGCTCCATCACTTCCCAATGACTGGAATTCTCCCACCAATGACGGACGGTGTGTCTAACCCCTCCCCTCCATCTCCTCTCCTCCTCCCCTCCATCTCCTCTCCTCCTCCCCTCCATCTCTCGCCTTATCCCTCCATCTTCTCTCCTCCTCCCCTCCATCTCTCGCCTTCTCCCTCCATCTCCTCTCCTCCTCCTCCCTCCTCATCTCCTCCTCCATCTCCTCTCCTCCATCTCCCTCCATCTCCTCTCCTCCTCCCCTCCATCTCTCGCCTTCTCCCTCCATCTCCTCCCCTCCATCTCCCTCCATCTCTCTCCTTCTCCCCTCCTTCTCTCTCCTTCTCCCCTCCATCTCCTCTCCTCCATCTCCCTCCATCTCTCTCCTTCTCCTCTCCTCCCTCCATCTCCCTCCATCTCTCTCCTCTCCTTCTCTCCTTCTCCTCCCCATCTCCCTCCATCTCCCTCCTCCTCCCTCCATCTCCCTTCATCTCTCTCCCCTCCATCTCTCTCCATCTCTCTCCTTCTCCTCTCCTCCTCCCCTCCATCTCTCTCCATCTCTCTCCTTCTCCTCTCCTCCTCCCTCCATCTCCCTCCATCTCTCTCCTCTCCTTCTCTCCTTCTCCTCTCCATCTCCCTCCATCTCTCTCCTCCTCCCGCCATCTCCCTTCATCTCTCTCCTTCTCCTCTCCTCCTCCCCTCCATCTCCCTCCATCTCTCTCCTTCTCCTCTCCTCCTCCCCTCCATCTCCCTCCATCTCTCTCCTTCTCCTCTCCTCCTCCCCTCCATCTCCCTCCATCTCTCTCCTTCTCCTCTCCTCCTCCCCTCCATCTCCCTCCATCTCTCTCCTTCTCCTCTCCTCCTCCCCTCCATCTCCCTCCATCTCTCTCCTTCTCCTCTCCTCCTCCCCTCCATCTCCCTCCATCTCTCTCCTTCTCCTCTCCTCCTCCCCTCCATCTCCCTCCATCTCTCTCCTTCTCCTCTCCTCCTCCCCTCCATCTCCCTCCATCTCTCTCCTTCTCCTCTCCTCCTCCCCTCCATCTCCCTCCATCTCTCTCCTTCTCCTCTCCTCCTCCCCTCCATCTCCCTCCATCTCTCTCCTTCTCCTCTCCTCCTCCCCTCCATCTCCCTCCATCTCTCTCCTTCTCCTCTCCTCCTCCCCTCCATCTCCCTCCATCTCTCTCCTTCTCCTCTCCTCCTCCCCTCCATCTCCCTCCATCTCTCTCCTTCTCCTCTCCTCCTCCCCTCCATCTCCCTCCATCTCTCTCCTTCTCCTCTCCTCCTCCCCTCCATCTCCCTCCATCTCTCTCCTTCTCCTCTCCTCCTCCCCTCCATCTCCCTCCATCTCTCTCCTTCTCCTCTCCTCCTCCCCTCCATCTCCCTCCATCTCTCTCCTTCTCCTCTCCTCCTCCCCTCCATCTCCCTCCATCTCTCTCCTTCTCCTCTCCTCCTCCCCTCCATCTCCCTCCATCTCTCTCCTTCTCCTCTCCTCCTCCCCTCCATCTCCCTCCATCTCTCTCCTTCTCCTCTCCTCCTCCCCTCCATCTCCCTCCATCTCTCTCCTTCTCCTCTCCTCCTCCCCTCCATCTCCCTCCATCTCTCTCCTTCTCCTCTCCTCCTCCCCTCCATCTCCCTCCATCTCTCTCCTTCTCCTCTCCTCCTCCCCTCCATCTCCCTCCATCTCTCTCCTTCTCCTCTCCTCCTCCCCTCCATCTCCCTCCATCTCTCTCCTTCTCCTCTCCTCCTCCCCTCCATCTCCCTCCATCTCTCTCCTTCTCCTCTCCTCCTCCCCTCCATCTCCCTCCATCTCCCTCCTCCTCCCCTCCATCTCCCTTCATCTCTCTCCTTCTCCTCTCCATCTCCCTCCATCTCTCTCCATCTCTCTCCTCCTCCCCTCCATCTCCCTTCATCTCCCTCCTTCTCCTCTCCATCTCCCTCCATCTCTCTCCATCTCTCTCCTCCTCCCCTCCATCTCCCTCCATCTCCCTCCTCCTCCCCTCCATCTCCCTTCATCTCTCTCCTTCTCCTCTCCATCTCCCTCCACCTCTCTCCTTCTCCTCTCCATCTCTCTCCTTCTCCCCTCCATCTCCCTTCATCTCCCTCCTTCTCCTCTCCATCTCCCTCCATCTCTCTCCATCTCTCTCCTTCTCCTCTCCATCTCCCTCCATCTCCCTCCTCCTCCCCTCCATCTCCCTTCATCTCTCTCCTTCTCCTCTCCATCTCCCTCCATCTCTCTCCTTCTCCTCTCCATCTCTCTCCTTCTCCCCTCCATCTCCCTTCATCTCCCTCCTTCTCCTCTCCATCTCCCTCCATCTCTCTCCATCTCTCTCCTTCTCCTCTCCATCTCCCTCCATCTCCCTCCTCCTCCCCTCCATCTCCCTTCATCTCTCTCCTTCTCCTCTCCATCTCCCTCCATCTCTCTCCTTCTCCTCTCCATCTCTCTCCTTCTCCCCTCCATCTCCCTTCATCTCCCTCCTTCTCCTCTCCATCTCCCTCCATCTCTCTCCATCTCTCTCCTTCTCCTCTCCATCTCCCTCCATCTCCCTCCTCCTCCCCTCCATCTCCCTTCATCTCTCTCCTTCTCCTCTCCATCTCCCTCCATCTCTCTCCTTCTCCTCTCCATCTCTCTCCTTCTCCCCTCCATCTCCCTTCATCTCCCTCCTTCTCCTCTCCATCTCCCTCCATCTCTCTCCATCTCTCTCCTTCTCCTCTCCATCTCCCTCCATCTCCCTCCTCCTCCCCTCCATCTCCCTTCATCTCTCTCCTTCTCCTCTCCATCTCCCTCCATCTCTCTCCTTCTCCTCTCCATCTCTCTCCTTCTCCTCTCCATCTCTCTCCTCCTCCCCTCCATCTCCCTTCATCTCCCTCCTTCTCCTCTCCATCTCCCTCCATCTCTCTCCATCTCTCTCCTCCTCCCCTCCATCTCCCTCCATCTCCCTCCTCCTCCCCTCCATCTCCCTTCATCTCTCTCCTTCTCCTCTCCATCTCCCTCCATCTCTCTCCTTCTCCTCTCCATCTCTCTCCTTCTCCCCTCCATCTCCCTTCATCTCCCTCCTTCTCCTCTCCATCTCCCTCCATCTCTCTCCATCTCTCTCCTTCTCCTCTCCATCTCCCTCCATCTCCCTCCTCCTCCCCTCCATCTCCCTTCATCTCTCTCCTTCTCCTCTCCATCTCCCTCCATCTCTCTCCTTCTCCTCTCCATCTCTCTCCTTCTCCCCTCCATCTCCCTTCATCTCCCTCCTTCTCCTCTCCATCTCCCTCCATCTCTCTCCATCTCTCTCCTTCTCCTCTCCATCTCCCTCCATCTCCCTCCTCCTCCCCTCCATCTCCCTTCATCTCTCTCCTTCTCCTCTCCATCTCCCTCCATCTCTCTCCTTCTCCTCTCCATCTCTCTCCTTCTCCCCTCCATCTCCCTTCATCTCCCTCCTTCTCCTCTCCATCTCCCTCCATCTCATCTCCCGGGATCCCCAGGGACGGACATATTGTGGAGTGATTGGACCCCGTGGTCTCCATGTTCTAGAACGTGCTTCTATGATGTGGAAAATATTGGGATGCGTAGAAGGTTCCGGCATTGTAACAGCACGCTGTCCTCCTCCTTTGGCCCTCCGTGTGTCGGGGAATCTGTTCAGGAGGAGCCATGTGACACGCCGCTGTGTCCCGGTATGTACAATACATGCGTGATGTGGGATGGGGGGGGGGGTCATACGGATGATGTGGGAAGTCCAGGTCCCTGACTCCCTTCCATACTTCTGATTACAGTTGTTGGCGGTTGGTCCTCCTGGAGTCCCTGGACGGAGTGCACTGCCACCTGCGACTCCGGAATTCAGACACGAAACCGCTCATGCTCTCACCCTGTGCCATCACACGGGGGCCCCGACTGCTGGGGGCCACATATCCAGACCAGGGAGTGTAACACACATCCCTGCAGAGGTGAGGGTCCAGTTTTGGTGTCACGGTGGATTCGGAGTTCCTGGAGGACGGCTCCGGCCGCTTCCAGTCGCAGTAATCACTTTATTGATCCCTCCAGATCTGTGCCCACCCGATATGATACATCAGACCCCGGAGGAGTGCCGCGGCTCCGGGGGGGCGTGTCCTCGCCTGTGCCTGGATCAGGCTTCCCAGGTAGAATGCGCCTCCACCTGTTATGAGGGCTGTTACTGCCCCGAGGGGCTCTTCCTGCAGAACAACAACTGCGTGCCGCAGACTGAATGTTCCTGTTACCACCGGGGGGCGCTGTACCGGCCCGGGGAGAATGTGACGCTGGACGCCTGCAATAACTGGTAACCGCGAGCTTGTGTTATTGAGGTCCGTACTTGCTGCCTCCATGTGGCCCACCGTCGGGGCTTCTCTGACCTCTTCTGTGTTTGCAGCACCTGTGTGTCCGGTGAGATGGTCTGCAGTGCAGCTCTGTGTTCAGGTGAGGGGCGTCATCTGTCTGT